TAGACCAACGGTTCCCAAATGGGGGTCCGCGGACCCCTAGTGGTCCGTAGTAAAATCCTAGGGGGTCCGCGAAGACGAACGAAAAAAACCATGAATAAACAATATTCTGCTTTTATATGTATGTACAAATATATCCAATTTTTGTGCAATAATCCCAAATTTTTTGGTGACTTTTTGAATTTTATTTTTTCGGTTGTTTATCAGGAAGAAGCTAGGCCCTACAAATTTATTGTATAACTTTTATAAAGTAAAGTACTACGTGATTTGTAATTTTTATTTCCTGTATATGTACTGAAATAATGGTTTTTATTTCAGACAAATAATACTCTGTCTTACAATTAAATTAGGGATACTGGTATTCCGGAGTATGAAGTTCAATTCAAAGACAAGCTTATTACAGATTTAAGTTTATCAAATTGTAAGCAAAAGTGTTCTCGTTTGAAAGGACTAAAATTATATATTTCCAAAACAGAGGTGACTCTTTATCCATCTCTTTATAAATATTCCAATCCGACGTGATACACAGATTTTAACTTGATTTTGTCGACCAATACATATATTAAATTAACATCAGAAAATCCATAGCGTTTCGCGCAAATATGTAGCCAAAAACCATGAAGTAAAATAATTCGTTGGTATTTTAAAATTCAAATTTAAGTTCCAAATTCACAGTACTTTAACAAAGAGTTCAAATCATATATTATGCGGATAACGCATTCCGCAACAACATAGAAGAAGTCCAACTTTCTTATATTATTTTCCCGAAAACTTAGCTCACTTACTCAGTTCACCCTTTGCAATCGCAACAAATTTTTGAAACGTGACTCCTTAAGCACATGTGACAATATTTGATAAAGAAACCTTTTTGCTACCTTGAAGAAAAATGAACATGAAAGATCTCACGATCATAAAATTAAACATCATGTTAACATATCAACAAAGAAGTCATTCTATCTTCAAAACATGCAATTGAAAACCTATCTGAAATATTATATATTCTCAATGTACTGGAAAAAAAAATATGTATGGGGGTCCGCGAAATTAAATAAGTTCTTCAAGGGGTCCGCGAAGTAAAAATCTGTGGGAACCGCTGGACTAGACTATAGACTAGACTATAGACTAGACTATAGACTAGACTATAGACTAGACTATTGAATACTATGTGGACTACTTATAAAAAGTTTATAAGTTAACAATACTATTGATGTCTTCGGGCTTCCTCGGTATTTCTCGATATCAAAGAGTACTAAAGTACTGAGTTTTACATGCCTATATGGAACTACCTTTTCATCTTAATGATCTTAGTAACTTGGCAACTCTATTGTAACATAAACAGCATATGTATGTTTAAGTGTATTTATATCTCGAATTCTTTTTAATCGTCTGATATAAATGTTTGTTAAATATATCTGTTGTGTACAAAAGGACATACATAGGTACATATGTATATAACTCTATATAAACATGTAAGTCTAAATATATATACACACATACATACGTGTAAATAACAACAACACTCATACATACTGCATGTGTGTACATACCTATATCATATATTTATCTTGTATTTTTATTTCATCCTTTTCTATTCATTTTTCTGTTTACATTAAAAGAAAAGTAGAAGCAGAGCATAAAATGAAAGAAAATTGGCGAAAAAAAACGTTATAGTAGAAGAATAATAGCAGATTCTTAAAAGAAAACAAAATTGAAAGAGTTACAATATTTACTTAAATACGTAGAATACATGTCATTCAATAGTTAAGAAGAAAAAAAACACAGTCAATAAATGGAAAATGTACAAAATGAAGAAGAAACATCGACAAACAAGCAATGGAATCATAAAGCTGAATAATAAAAGAAAGATTTTTCATCTCTATTTATAAGCTTTGCACACAGAGATACTCACGTACACAGAGGCATGTTTATATTCTACATTCATACTTACATATAGAAATATTCAACATCATATAAGTACAAATAGCAACAGAAGAAAAATTATTGGAAACCAGAAACTTTTTGGTTGGCAACATATTTCAGATAACAAGCTACAATTAAGATCCACATTCTCATATATCACTCCAAAAATTTTCTGTAAGGAACAATTTCATAAAAAAATTATAAAAGGGCTTTTCAAGTTTCTGAAACATTTGTATTTGAGACACAAAATCTGATAGGTTCCATTATGAATGACAACCCTATATTTCCGCCTAATGTACGTCACCTCTGCCATTGTCAAAAATGGGTCATGCAGAAAGCCCGGTGTATGTAGAATTTTGGGTTTTGGGAGTTTTCGAAAAAGTTCTCATTTCGCTAGTAGAGTTCGGGGTTCAGGACTTCATGGTAAAGTGGATAGTATGCGTGCTTATCAGCAGAATTATATACTTGAACCTAAGGGATCGTTGCATTAGGAGAAAGGTTACCGGGGGGACTCCTCAAAGGGGTGTTTTATAGACTCTAATGTGGCTACTAGCGGTTAAGGGTATTCTAGGACTATTTTAATCTAAAGGTAGGAAGATTGCTGCCTATATGAATGAAGTGATGTTATCGGTCAGTGTCATAATGGAGACTGCACTACGTGACTTCTTGATATGGGCGAAAGCTAAAGGACTGTGAGTAAATCCAAGGAAAACTGAACTAATAATATTTATCAATCGCTATAAGGTAGATAACTGCAGGATGCCGAGGTTAGATGGCATCTATAGAGGAGTATTTATGGACTTTCTTTGATAGCAAGCTTTCGTGGAAACTATATACTCAGGAAAGAATGAAAAGGGGAATGAAACTGTTGCCATTAGTTGTACTCCACTAGCAGACTTTGACATTATTCTTTAACTTTCAGCTATATAACATTTTGTAACGGGTGTAGCGATCTGGATTCTACTAGGAATTTATATGTCTTCGTTAATTAAACACTCAAGCGACAATCACTCGAAAATTTTATACAAAGTAAGTCTACATGGTCATGCTAACTCCTACATGATCATGCGACTCTAAACTTCGAACACCTCTGATGGAATTCCCAACTAGACTGTTAGATGGGTGCGCAGTTTTTACCGTCGGTATAAAGAGGTCCTTTGGACTCCCTGACGAATTTGGTGTCTTTCATCTCTGAGAGCCTAGTGCAACTTATAGAATCGTATCGACCTAGGGCCGGTGCTCGTAGAACATAGGCATGTCATACCTATGATACATTCGCGCCTGGTTGCAGATTGTATAAATGCTCTTAGGGACATTATTAAACTGGGGCACTGCAATGTGCATGGTAAAGAGGTTGTGGAAGAACTGATTAGCTAAATTAGGTTCGAAACTTGATTTAGATAATATAGGGAAAGGAGAATGAAACCACACATCTAAGAAACCATGAATGAATGTCCAACACTTGATGTTAGGGCTACCAAGTTACTTATAGGACTGGATATACGCATTCTAAGAATTCTGACAGGTATCATAACGAGGTATTGCTCATTTAGGGCCTTTGTCAGTAAGTGGAACAGTAATATACTGGACTATTTCAGGCTATGCAAAGATGTAGAGAAACTAGAGACGATCAAGCATACAATTGGCACTGTTCTAGAATACAGAATCGAATCTAGGAAATAGGTTTCATGCCGAAGTGGGTGAAATTGCGGGACTTAAGCCTCGCAGTATAGTAAGTTTTATTACGGAAAACAGTAATTTCTTCGATTAGGTTTAATAGGAATCCCATAGGGCCTCTTGGAATAACGAAACAGTGGGTAGAACCACGAAGATCCTATGGGGTGACCTTGATGAGAGCAAGTCGAAAAATCTCCTAAAAATGAGAAAGTCTGAAGTTAGTATGATGGTACGTATTCTGAGTGGGCACACAGGATTACGAGCACATCTATGCAAAATTGGACGTGCGGATTCAGACGAATGTAGAGCATGTGGAGCACTTTCTTTGCCACTACCAGGCATTCGTCGAAGTTAGATCCAAGTATCTTGGAAGTGATGTTATTCCGGAAATAACATTCCTGACTAACACTGATTGGAAGATTCTTAGGAATTACGTTTAGGAAACTGAGTTTATGAATACTGAAAAATAATTCATTCAGTTCCCTTTTTTTCATGATAAGGAGCGCACAACAGGCCCGACAGGCCTAGGTGTATTTCTTCGGATTTGATGTAATATACATCCTCCTATCAACCTACCTACCTACCTTCCTACCTAATAGGGTAAATCAGATTCTCTCCAATTTCGTTCTATAAGGAATCGAATCGGTAAAACTTCTAATTAATTTGTTCTTTTTGTTTTTCTAATGTATCTTTGGATCTTTACATTATGCGGACATAATTACAATTGAGCTTATAGTCTATGAGTGGAGTTGCACTTTCATAACCTTAACTTACCATTCTTTCTTACAAATAGGGTCTTAAATAAGAACTTACTACGCTTGCTTACAAAGAAGTAATTACCCCCATGAGCCACGTCCCCCATACTACGTCGGTAGATATACATATATAGTGTTAAATAAAAAGAGTATGTAAGAATCGGATTTGACTTGTGCCTATAAAACAAATTGTTTAAGGCATTTCTTTTAGTTTTAAAAATCTTCATTAAGTTTTTAATACTTTGTTATGAAATTATCAAAATTTACTTTCAACAGACAACAAATAAACTCAGAAGTCCTTTTTATTTCCTGCCATTTTTTTTCCTTAATAAAATAGGCAACAAAAACTATTAATCATAATTTCAAATTGACTTTTTCATTTCGAAAACGTTACAAAAATCCCCACTAACTTACAACACCTGCACGTAACACTGTATGATGCAAAATGTATTTCGCAGCAAAAACAAACTCACATTCAAGATGATGAAATAACAACTAGCAGTAGGTAAAGAAGATTGTTTTATACTTTTTTTTTAGAATTTGTTCATACATTTTTGAATAGGGAAAAAAACGTAAAAAATCATAGTAGAAGATACTTGATATCGTTAAGAAGGCTATTTAAGATTGTGTAACTAATCACAGTGTGAACAGTTGAAGCGCAACTTTTGAAACGGAAACTCAAGTGGTATGGAAGTTAAAATAACTAGAGAGAGAGAGAGAGTGAAAGCAAAAAACATAAATATAAATAAAGCTACAAAAATAAACCAACTAACATAAATATAATATAGTTTTTATATATGTAATATAAAATATTACTGCAAATACTTATTATATATTAACAAAAATATATAGAAGAAAAGTATAGTAGTATCTAGCAAACGGAAATAAGTGATTTATTAATATATAAAATTACAAAAAAAATAAAAACACAGAAAAACGCTTAGAATACTGGAAAAAATAACTGCTCGAGTTCTCAAAGTTGTTTTTATGATTTGAAATTTTTCTACGTTTTTTATAACGCCAGCTAACGCTAAGGCATTTTATTTAGTTTTTTTTTTAATAGTTGTTCCATTCTTTTAGTTTTTGGCGCTCAAAAACAGCATTAAGCATAATATTAATATTAAATATACTACAAATAAATTGTACGTGTTTAAATAAATGTTTGTGACTGTTAAGCAGAAAAATGAAATATTCTGCTGAATTTGACTATTGTTTTTTTGGGGCAAAATTAAACGTCAAATTTAGTTTAACTTTGAGGAAAATAAATGATTTCCCCAGAAATATTGGAAATAAAAATAAAATTTAATTTCATTACTTTATTTAGTTCGTATTATAAAGTTGGTTAAATTTCGAAATCAAAAATAAAGTGATTGTCGGAAAGCATAAGAAATTCCAAAATTTGTGCCTTTGAAAAATGATCTCGAAATGAACTAAAACTGAACAATAACTGAACTAGAACTGAACTGGAACTGAACTAGAACTGAACTAGAACTGAACTAGAACTGAACTAGAACTGAACTAGAACTGAACTAGAACTGAACTAGAACTGAACTGAACTAGAACTGAACTAGAACTGAACTAGAACTGAACTAGAACTGAACTAGAACTGAACTAGAACTGAACTAGAATGAACTAGAAACTAGAACTAGAACTGAACTAGAACTGAACTAAACTGAACTAGAACTGAACTAGAACTGAACTAGAACTGAACTAGAACTGAACGTAGAACTGAACTAGAACTGAACTAGAACTGAACTGAACTGAACTAGAACTGAACTGAACTGACTGAACTGAACTAGAACTGAACTAGAAACTGAACTAGAACTGAACTAGAACTGAAACTAGAACTGAACTAGAACTGAACTAGAACTAGAACTGAACTAGAACTGAACTAGAACTGAACTAGAACTGAACTAGACTGAACTAGAACTGAAATAGACTGAACTAGAACTGACAATAGAACTGAACTAGAACTGAACGAACTGAACTAGAACTGAACTAGACTGAACTAGAACTGAACTAGAACCTGAACTAGAACTGAACTAACTGAACTAGAACTGAACTAGAACTGAACTAGAACTGAAACTAGAACTGAAACTAGAATGAACTGAACTGAACTAGAACTGAACTAGACGCTAAACTGAACTAGAATGAACTAGAACTGAACTAGAATCGAACTAGAAACTGAACTAGAACTGAACCTAGAACGAACAGAACGACCTAGAACTGAACTATAACTGAACTAGAACTGAACTATGAACTGAACTAGAACTGAACTAGAAACTGAACTAGAACTGAACTAGAACTAAACTAGAAAACTGAAGCTAGAACTGAAGTAGAACCTGAACTAGAACTGAACTAGAACTGAACTAGAACTGAACTAGAAACTGAACTAGAACTAACTAGAACTGAACTAGAACTGAACTAGAACTGAACTAGAACTGAACTGAACTAGAACTGACTAAACTAGAACTGAACTAAAACTGAAGTAGAACTGAACTAGAACTGACTAGAACTAGAACTGAACTAGAAATGAACTGAACTACAACTGAACTAGCACTAAACTAGAACTAAACTAGAATTGAAATAGAACTGAACTAGAACTCAACTAGAACAGAACTGGAACTACATCGATCTGTATTACAAATAAATTTGTAAGAAATGTTTACATACATACGTACATATGTACGTATTTTCTATTTCGATTGACCCATTGTTATTATTTACAACACATTATTATCTACTTATTTTGGTTTAATAATTTCAAAACCTCAATATTGCTTTAATTTTTTTAACATTTCTAGACATTATTTACTTTGATCAGCTATTTTTCCTTAAGTTATGGCAATTTATTTTTTTTCGCATTTATGTCTACACGTGTCAAACAATTATTTATACATGGCTTCACCAGCAAATAATAACTTTGAGCCTTAAACCATGACAACCCATCAAATCGTTAAATCCAATCTTAAATGGTTTTTTTGTGTCAGTTTGAGAGGGAAATGAAATTTTTGTATGAAGAAATATTATTAACCTCCTTTGATTTGAACCTTATTAAACTTAGAAAATTGTTGCAATAAATAGTTAAAATAAATTTTATATAAAATTTAGTTGTTATAGAAATTTTATTATGGCCACAAAATTTAAAAGGAATTTATACAATTAACTACAAATGTAAATAAGTAAAATTTTTATTGTAAATTAAATGTTGTTCTAGTTTCTAGTTCGTTCTAGTTCAGTTCTAGTTCAGTTCTAGTTCAGTTCTAGTTCTAGTTCAGTTCTAGTTCATTCTAGTTCAGTTCTAGTTCAGTTCTAGTTCAGTTCTAGTTCAGTTCTAGTTCAGTTCTAGTTCAGTTCTAGTTCAGCTTCTAGTCAGTTCTAGTTCAGTTCTAGTTCAGTTCTAGTCAGTTAGTTCAGTTCTAGTTCAGTTCTAGTTCAGTTCTAGTTCAGTTCTAGTTCAGTTCTAGTTCAGTTCTAGTTCAGTTCTAGTTCATTCTAGTTCAGTTCTAGTTCAGTTCTAGTTCAGTTCTAGTTCAGTTCTAGTTCAGTTCTAGTTCAGTTCTAGTTCAGTTCTAGTTCAGTTCAGTTCTAGTTCAGTTCAGTTCTAGTTCAGTTCTAGTTCAGTTCTAGTTCAGTTCTAGTTCAGTTCTAGTTCAGTTCTAGTTCAGTTCTAGTTCAGTTCTAGTTCAGTTCTAGTTCAGTTCTAGTTCAGTTCTAGTTCAGTTCAGTTCAGTTTTCTAGTTCAGTTCTAGTTCAGTTCTAGTTCAGTTCTAGTTCAGTTCTAGTTCAGTTCTAGTTCAGTTCTAGTTCAGTTCTAGTTCAGTTCTAGTTCAGTTCTAGTTCAGTTCTAGTTCAGTTCTAGTTCAGTTAGTTCAGTTCAGTTCTAGTTCAGTTCTAGTTCAGTTCTAGTTCAGTTCTAGTTCAGTTCTAGTTCAGTTCTAGTTCAGTTCTAGTTAGTCAGTTCTAGTTCAGTTCTAGTTCAGTTCTAGTTCAGTTCTAGTTCAGTTCTAGTTCAGTTCTAGTTCAGTTCTAGTTCAGTTCTAGTTCAGTTCTAGTTCAGTTCTAGTTCAGTTCTAGTTCAGTTCTAGTTCAGTTCTAGTTCAGTTCTAGTTCAGTTCTAGTTCAGTTCTAGTTCAGTTCTAGTTCAGTTCTAGTTCAGTTCTAGTTCAGTTCTAGTTCAGTTCTAGTTCAGTTCTAGTTCAGTTCTAGTTCAGTTCTAGTTCAGTTCTAGTTCAGTTCTAGTTCTAGTTCAGTTCTAGTTCAGTTCTAGTTCAGTTCTAGTTCAGTTCTAGTTCAGTTCTAGTTCAGTTCATATCTTTTTTTTTTTTTTTATATATATTATTATTTATTTATTTGTAACAATTGTGTGTTTTGTTAACAATATGTACAATACAAAATAATTAGAAAGAAATTAAAATTTGATAAAATCATCATCTTAGGCGTAGCAATCACATCAGGGTATATATCGGAAAATCTTCATTTTTCTTGGCACGTCTGATGTCTTATATTCCGGAAAGAGAGGTTTTCATCTACGATCATATTCCATGTTCCATGTGATTTATATACTTTGTTTCGATTAGTTTTTGTTTTATTATTTATTTCAATTATTCATTTGATTATCATTTTCTTATATATGTAAGTGAATTCTAATTATTCCCCGCGAAGCTATTCAGCTTGTCCGCAGGATATTAAGTAGGAAAAGTTCACATATTCTTAGCGTTCTATAGTTAATTAGTTCAGGTTTTTCTTTCTTTTTTTTTTTTAATGCATATAGTTTACACTCATTGCGAATTTATTAAATATTGTTTGATATGTTTATCTTTTTGGTGTTTATTTCTATTGTTTAAGATATTAATAGGAATTTTGTTTAGAATTGTTGGTAATGCGACGGAAAGGGTGCTTCTGCCATATTCGTTAGTAAAACGTTCTACTTTAAATCTTCCTTGCGATCTTCGTCGTGTGTTGTAGGAATGATCAATTTGTTGTAAGAAAGTTGTATTATTATCGAATTCTTTTATAATTGTGGTGTAATATATGTTCTTAACGTTTAGTACATTTGTGGCTTTAGCTAGATTGAAATGATTTTGAGTACGATTATTTTGCATGTCAATATCTGTTAAGAATTGGTAATTTTGTTTTTTCCATAACATTTTAAGTAGCCGGTCTTGTGTTTTTTGCAATGTGCTGTTGTATTTAACATTTCCCCATGCAGTTATACCATGCCTAATGTACGATTCAGCAAGAGAAAAATAGGCTTCACGTAATACGTCATAAGTTGCGCAATTACTTAAATGGTACAACATATATGCCGATTTTCTAAGCTTTTTCTGCAAATTTTCTATGTGTATCTTCCATTTAAAACTGCTGTCAACATAGACTCCTAAGTATTTATATGATTTGACTAATTCTATTATTGTTGAACATGTGTCGCCTACGTATGTGTTGTTATTAGCTTTTTTATGAAGACATTCTGTGTTATGAAATGTTAATCTTATATCCGAGTTTACAAGATGTGGTGGTTTGATGTGCATTACCTTTGTTTTGCTAGCATTGATGATGAGTCCGCTATCATGTGACCATTTTGTTGCTATATCTAATTGTCTTTGCATCATTTCTATTGCGATAGATATATTTTTGTCAGCAACAACGATAGCTGTGTCATCAGCATATGCGAAAGTTGAACTTTTTAAACATCGCATCATATCGTTTGCGTATAAAATGTAAAGTATTGGACCAAGTTTTGATCCTTGCGGCACTCCACAATCATATGTTGTTTCTTTACTTAGTTTATTATGTATTTTGACACAATATGATCTACAATGTAGATAGCTTTTAAACCATTTTAAAGTATTTCCTCTTATGCCGTTTCTTTCGAGAGTTTCTATCAACTTAATATGTGATAACGTGTCAAATGCCTTACTGAAGTCGATAAAGAGAACTAATACATGCAAATTCTTACTTAAGGATTCATTAATGTAATTTGAGAAGTTTCCTAGTAACTTGTTAATATTTTTTCCCTTTTGGAATCCAAACTGGTTTTTATTTATAATATTAAATTTTTGCATAAAATCTGTAAGTCTTTTGACTATCACATCCTCCAAAATTTTATCTATTACAGATAAAATAGCTATTGGCCTGTAATTATTATAGTCCGTTTTGTTTCCACTTTTGTATATAGGTCTTACTATAGAAGTTCAGTTCATATCTAGTTCAGTTCAGATCTAGTTCAGTTCTAGTACAATTTTTATTATAGATAAAATTTGTTACAAATAAAACCATCTTAATGTGAATTTGTATGTTTTTTTCAAAATATTATTGAAATAGAATATAAATTAGAAATAAGTTAAACTAATCTTGGTATTAACAATAAAATAGTTACAAATTTACATATATTTCGTTAAGTTTAATACAACTTACTTAAGCTCATAAAGACGTTTCCAAGTAAAAACTCTTAAAATATTAAGCTCTTTTTAATACAAAGTAAATTTGTATTAATCTTGTCGAAAATCAGCACTTAAATTATAAATTGAATTTAAAATATCCAGCTGCTATTCATACCTCTTAGAGTACAAAAGTTAATATTTTAACGTCATCCCAACACACAATTTAAATTCAACAGCTTTAAGTTGATTTAATAGGATTAGCAAGAAGTAATAGAAAAAAACGAATAAATGAAATCAACTGTTTCGGTACTTACGAAAAAACCAATATTGTAGGAATATACCACCTAAGTAGATTACCGGAATTGACAATGTAACAATTGTATTAATCTTTAACCATTTTCCTATATAATGTTTTTTTGTTTTTCAACTACAATTTTATATGAATTTTTTTTATTACAGATACAACCAATTCCTTACCTACTACTGTGTGACCTAAAAACAAAAACAAAAAACTTTGCCAAAAAAAAGAAAACAAAAGCTCTACTACCTCCATCCACAACAACTAAGAGAACAACAAATACAAACAAAAAATCTAACAGAAAAGTAACCTAGAACAATAATAATAACAACAACAAGCAACAAGAAAAAACAAAACAACATTTAAACAAGTACAACAACTAAAAAAGTGCATTACCAATTGTATAATATTTGCCATCAATACACTAAGACAACAAAATGTTCATCAAAACAACAACATTGAGAAGATTAAAAACCCAAACGACAGCAGTGAAAATGAAAAGAATAAAATGGAAATGGCAACACAAGCAAAAACTAAAACAACAAACACTACTACTACAACTACTGCAGCAGCAGCTAAAGTTAAAGCTGCAACAGGAAACGGAAATCCATACACTCAAAATATTAGCACAGTTAAAGAGAGAAAACTTCAAACAGTTAACTGTTTTAGAGAAAGCTCAGCAAGAAGAGCAAGAGCAACAGCAGCATATTGCAGTAAAATTCAAAACAATAAAACGGAAATCAAAATTTCAAAATATAAACAAAAAAATTACCTAAAATTTTTAATAAAAAATTTATATTTAAAATTAAATTTAATTTTATGCATTAGTCAAATAAATAAATCTATATTAAAACTTCATAAAACTAAAATAAATACTAATAATAATTATAATTATAATAAGAAACCGGAAACAGAAAATTGTATTATAAATTTACGACAACAACAACAACATAAACAGCAGCTGCTAATAACAAGTTTCAAAACATTTACATTTAAATTTAATAATGTATTAAACTTTTTAACAAAATTCAACTATTATTGTAGCCCACAAACAACAAAACTAGAGAAATATGTTAAAATATTATTAAAGTATATATTACATAATAAGATATTAAAACATTTTGTAGGAATTTGCCCTAAAAGACTGATATCATTAAAAAGATTAAAACAAATTCCTGAAAATCATGCCAAAATAGAAAATGATAATGATGAGACATTAACAAAACCAAGTTCAACAAATTATGCTAAACTAGAACGACCATTAAGAAAAGTTTGTAAATTACAAGGATTTAAGAGAAAGAGTAAGTTAGTAAATAAAGAGAGTAACGGAAATTTTGCTAAAAGTATACATTCTAAAAGAGAAAATGTGCTGTTGCAGTATTGCCAACTTATTGCTAAAGACACAAAAAATAATAAATTGAATTGCCAACTCAGGCCTTGTAAAGAAACGCACACAAGTTTGGTTCTGCAAGAACTAAAAACTCTACAAAATCCTTATCGTAAGGAGAGACCAATTAGTAAAAATCAAGATCGAAATCTCAAACAAAAGTTGAACGCATTAGGAAATGAAAATAAAGACCAGCAGCAGCAAATCATAAAGGAATTAAGTTCAATAAATCCACAAGAAGTTCCACAAGCGTTCCAAATGAAAAGGAAAATAGTTCCGGAGATTTCGGATATTGTACAGATTAAAAAGAAATCGAAATTCCTTAGTAGAGACTCACATTCGCAAAAAGTTGCGGAGTTGCAGAAAGAGGCAACGAAACTTTTAAGCAGAACATCACATTCACTCAAAGATTCAGAATATTCTCCTAAACAGCATGAGGAACGAAAAGATCATCAAAGAGTTTCACAATCTTTCCAAACGAATAAGTATAAAACTGTGTTAGGTCCGGATATTTTGGGTGTAGAACAGATGAAAGAGGCATTGGAACTTTTAAGCAGAACCTCACATTCGCTCAAAGATTCAGAATATTCTCCTAAACAGCATGAGGAACTAAAAGATTCACAAACTTGCCAAACGAATAAGTATAAAACTAGATTAGGGCCGGATATTTGTGATGTTGAACAGATGAAAGTGGCAACGGAACTCTTGAGAAGAACCCCACCTTTGCCTGAGGAACAAAAAGATCCTCAAAGAGTTTCACAAACTTTCCAAACGAAATTAGTTCCAGAGATTTGGAATACTGCTTCGTTTAATGAAACACTGGAACTTCTTAACAGAGTCTGTCATTCGCAAAATGTTTCAAAGTGTTCCAAAAAACCACAAACCATTCAATATAGAATTGGATTAGTTCAGGAGAGTTGGGATATTGAACAGATTAATAAGATAACTGAAGTCCGAAAACGTTCACAGCAAGAAGTACTAAATGAACTCCCAACGAAAAACATAAACTTAACGGATTTGCCAGATAATATGGAAATTTCTCAACAACTAAATCCTCAAGATTCTACTGAAATATGTAACAAATACAGAACGGAACACCGAATTGGTCATTCAAAATTACATGAAATCTTTGAATATACCCAGGAAAAGAAAACAAAAACCAACATGACTGTTTCAGAAACCCCAGACAAACATATAAATTCTTTCGAAAACCAGGATCCACAAACAGTTTTCCAAATAAATTCCTTGAAAAATGGCGAACTATTAAAAACAACTAAACACAAACTGGCAGATAATACCAATATTTCTAAACAAATTCTTTTACACAACAATAATTTCCATAAAAATTCCAGACGCAAAGAAAGTAAACAACAAAAATTTCTACAGAAATGCCAACATTTCCTATCTACCATTTTACTCTATTATTGTTGTAGTTGTTATTGCATTTGGCATATTTACGGATTTCCGTTAGTGTTAGTAAAAATTTTCAAATATCTTAAAGATTCAACAGTGCATGTGTTAACACGACGACGACTTAAAACAGTAACAACAATAGCATCAAGTATAACAACAACAACAACAGCAGCAGCAGCAACATCAATAGTGTATAACGATAGTAACATTATTGCAGCATGTGTTGGAAAATTGAAAAAACCGACAAAAATGGCAGACTATAAGGCCAACAACCAACAAAATGTTTTCAAAAGGCAGACAACACATAAAACAACAGTAGCAACAACAATAACAACATTAAGGAAAGCAAAAACATTTGTTGGTACTTGTGCATATACATCGTCTTCATGTTCAACAACATCGTTAACAGGCTCTTCAGCATATAGCTCGTCTCCGGAGAATTTAATGTTAATACAACAACAACAACAATCCCAGCAAATATGGACGCCATATTGCCATTATCAACAGCATCATCAGCAGCAACCTCATCTTCATCATCGACATCATCATCAACAACAACAAGAACTAAAGCAACAGCAACTGTTACGTTGTTATCAGCCGCAGTCAGTGCCGCCACTGTCTCATCCACAGCCACATTACAGTAATTCCACTAACAGTTTTCTTCACTTACCACAGCCCTCGTTGTTGGCATTTTCACGCACATTGATTATACTGATACTGTTGTCATCATTGTGGCACACATCGGAAGGTTTTCATGGCAGTGGTGTAAAATTGAGCACAAATACGGTTAAAACGAAGTATGGTCTGGTGCGTGGCATTGTTGTACGTTCATCGCCATCATTAGTGGAAGCTTATCTGGGCATACCTTATGCATCGCCACCTGTCGGAAGTTTAAGGTAATTATTTCTAGATTTTTATATCATTTTGTTATACAATTTCGTTTTCTTTACATTTGCGTCCTTTTTTTCATTTTGTTCTTTTTTCTTTATAACTTCCTTTTCATCTTATCTGTGGGGATTTTTATGGGACATCCTTGCCTTTCAATGTGTTTTTATACCCTACACCACTTTAGTGGGGAGGGTATAATGGATTTGTGCTGATGTTTGTAACATATAAAAATATTCGTCCTAGACCCACCTTAAAGTATACCAATCGGCTTAGAATCGTTTTCTGAGTCGATTAAGCTATGTCCGTGCGTCCGTCCGTCTGGCTGTCTGGCTGTCCATGTAAATTGGATGAAATTTGGCACGCACGTTTTATTTGACCCAAGGACGAAGCCTATTGAAAATGGTTAAAATCGGTCCATTATTTTACCTAACCCCTATAGAACAGAACCCCCCGAAAAGGGCTTCTGAACTCATAATTATGTTAAATATACAGATATATCGATAAAATACGGCACAACTTTTTATAGAAGTCTTGATGACCCTGCCAAATTTCATAAAGATCGGGCCCCATTTGACCCTAGCTCCCATACAAAGTCCCCTTCAGAAAATTACTTGAATGTCCCAAATTAACTTATAAACACAAATATCGCGCTGAAATTCAGCACAATAAAATATTATGTAAATATAAATATATTCACAAAATTTTATCGGGCTTGGTCCATATTTGCCCCTAGCCCCCATATAAAGCCTCTTTCAGAAAATTAGTTTTTCATCCATAAATTGCTTAAATGTATCAGAACAAGGGAATATTGAAGATAAATGCTTTATTATGAAAAAAAATCACATTTAATATTCATAACTGGTGTAGGGTATCATATGGTCGGCCACGCCCGACTATACTTTCTTACTTGTTTTTTTTTTTTTTGGGTTATTTCTGTACTATAAGATGTATTAGGCGACAGTGGTGTTATTTAACTATTGGTATGATTTTATTCTTAAGTTCATTTTGAAATGTTGAAGATCAACTTTCAAAGAGTATTTATGTCATGAATGCCCACAAGAGACAAGATCGCAGATAGTTCCAACAATTGCTTTCGAATCCATAAATAAACGATCTTCTTTCAAATCTAACATAATAAGATCGTAATGTCTTTTAAATAATAAACGCAACTGCAACAACGAACCCTGAGTTCAATTACATTCGATATCGAAGCTTTATTTCTATTATCGACCATTCATAGACCAGGGTGAACATTGATCTTCGAATGTGCGATAAAAGAAGTGAAGTTCCGGGTTTATTATCCATGAAACTTCTTTATTATCCACGAAATTCTTAAATGCAAAAGAGCAGGCAAATATTTGAACATTAAGGGTCGTAAGTAAGTATACATAAATCTATATCTAAATCTTTAGCAAGCTCTGTTCTTAATTTACACATTCCAAGCTGCAGTGTAACCCAATTAAAATTGCTTCAAAATAATCCTACTTTTAACAGCAATTGAAACAACATTTCAGTATAATTATTCACCCATTAGTTCAGCAAGACCTGGTAAAGGTCCATTATTTCCATTCCCTGCCTTTCTTTGAACTCTTTTAGGGAGGGATACATATTATTCTTATCCTAAAGTGTTACAAACAAAACTGATCCTATCTTCTGTTTAAAACTTTGGACTTGAACAAAATTCTAAATCTCAACACCCCTGACTTAAGGGTCAGGGGTGTTGAGATCGATACGTTATTAACCCTGAAGAATCATGCAGCATAAAGATAATCCTTTCCTGATATAGTAGGAGCTTTAAACAATAATAACTATCATACAAAAGTAATTAAAATTTTTAGATATAGGTAGCCCTTACTGTCTATGTAGGGAACAGTAAGTAGGTTTATATAATTTCTTATATTATATCTTTCTGTTATATCAACTGTTTCTGAATTTGGGCCACAATGGCTGCGTTTTGTTAACTAAAACCTCAGTTACCGATCTTTACACCTCAACAATGATCACAAAACTGAGCTCTAAACTAGTTAAAGTGATAATTATCGCAATAGTATGTCCAACTTTAACTAATATAAAATTCAGAGACCTGCTGATCATTATATTGAATCTTCTTTTTATGCAAAGAGTCTTTAAGTCGTAAGATCACTAAAAAATCTTTCTTCACCTGTTATTTTATTCAAGAGGGAATGATAGACTGACTGTAAGTTCCGATGTCTCGGTTGATAAAAAGCTTCTTTTAAAACGACATACTGCTGATCATTCAAGTAAAGGTTTTTCATGGCTGCGGAATTTGGGATATTTTGTAAAATCATAGGAACTTTGTTTACAGTTAGTCAATTCAGGAATCATATGTATGAAATGAGACCAGTTCTAACATAGGCTTCAATAGTCTGGTGGACTTCTTAGGGCCAAACAATTTAATATATACTACTAAAGGGAGATCAGCATACATGTTGGTTGAGTATATGAAAAGTGACTCTGATCTCTAGGCGAATCGAACAAGAAGGGTATTAGCCACTTCATCTTTATATTAAACATAGAGAATGGTTATACACAAACATCAGACGCATCGAATACCAGAGACATAAATGATCGGAAGTTAAGATACATTAATCCTAAATAGGCAAACACGATTAAATGGAGCATCAGAGTTTACAAATGTCGGTATCTGCTGCCACGCAAATGGCTCTTATCTGGAAGACTTTAATTCCAGTAGTTAGCTCTGTAACATGCGCTGTTTAACCTACAAGTCTGAAAGAATGAAATGGAGCATCAGAGTTAATAAATGTCGGAATCTGCTGCTACACAAATGGCTCTTAGCTGAAAGACTTTTATTCCAGTAGTAAGCTCTGTAACATGCGCTGTATAACCTACAAGTCTAAAATTTCAGGAACCACAAATTGACCTGCATACACTGTAGAATACAAATCAAAAGGATCTCAAAACTGCTAAAAGGTCTAACGGCACATTACGAAACAAGCTGAGACATTTATGCAGCAATAGGCTCCTAAAAGAACATATGTTGAGCAATACCTAGACCTGAAGTTTCACCAAACAGACATTTGCCTTATTTTGAGTATATGAATATAAAAACATAACTCCCTTAACAGTCGACACTGCCTGCAAAATTTAGATATACCCTACTGCCTTTTTGTTATCACATCCTCTAGTCTTTTGTATTTGATATAAGTGGTTTTCTTTTAAACAATATTTACTTGTTTTTTTGTATTTATACATTTTATATTCAATTTTTTATGATACAATTGTTATTAAATATCGCATTGTCGTAAGTATCGTTACATTTTATTCTTGTTTCTTTTTTTTCATTTTTCCTATAATATTTTCGTTTTTATTTATATTATTTTAGTTGTTGTTACGTTTTTTGTTTTTCATTTATTGAAGTTGAGTGTTTTTTTTTCTGCTTCATGTTTTTCTATGTTTGCCAGTTATTTTATCTTAATATTTAAAATCTTAATGCATTTTATATCATTGTTATTGTCCCGGAGGATATTTGTGCTGTTCTCTGGCTGTTGTTGTTTTTGTATACATAGTGTGATAAAGTGTTTGTTGTATATTTTGTAAAAAAAAAACGAAAGCTGTTAATGCCTTAACAGCGATAACTACATTACCCTCAAAAATTTACAAAAACGAATGAAAAAACGCCAACAATAGCACAGCATTTTCCAAATTTGATGTTTTTGAATGATAAAAATCGATTTTATATCTTAACGAGCTTCAAGGTAAATCCATTTCTCAATGGAGGCAATTTTCTTAGCTTTTTTTCTGTTAAGTATTTTTTAAGGTAAAATATTTTTTTTGAGAATTTTATATTAAATAAATTATATTTTTTCTGGCTAATCTATCATTGTCAAACCTGAAAGATTTTACCTTAACGAAAAAAATGTATTTACTTCCTAAACTTTTCAAAATAATAAGGATACAATTGAGCTAAAAGAAAATTAAGCATAAATTGATAGTTTTATTGTCGTTTAATTGAAATAAATGATGAGGAAATTTTTAAAACATTACTCAATATTATGGTGACATTATTTTGTTTTAAATATTTCTTTGCTTTACTGTCAGGTGCAGGTATGGAAAATTCAGTATTTTATGAATCTTTCCGTTGTTTTTGATATCGAAATTATCGCAGTAACCTACTAAACTTTTTAAAAGTAGTCCATAATAGTAAACTACTCCATTGTAAATAGTCTAGTCTAAGGTCTCGTCTATAGTCTAGTCTATAATCAAGTGTATAGTCTAGTCTATAGTCTAGTCTATAATCTAGTCTATAGTCTAGTCTATAGTCTAGTCTATAATCTAGTCTATAGTCTAGTCTATAGTCTAGTTTATAGTCTAGTCTATAGTCTAGTCTATAGTCTAGTCTATAGTCTAGTCTACAGTCTAGTCTATAGTCTAGTCTATAGTCTAGTCTATAGTCTAGTCTATAGTCTAGTCTATAGTCTAGTCTATGGTCTAGTCTATAGTCTAGTCTATAGTCTAGTCTATAGTCTAGTCTATAGTCTAGTCTATAGTCTAGTCTATAGTCTAGTCTATAGTCTAGTCTATAGTCTAGTCTATAGTCTAGTCTATAGTCTAGTCTATAGTCTAGTCTATAGTCTAGTCTATAGTCTAGTCTATAGTCTAGTCTATAGTCTAGTCTATAGGTCTAGTCTATAGTCTAGTCTATAGTCTAGTCTATAGTCTAGTCTATAGTCTAGTCTATAGTCTAGTCTATAGTCTAGTCTATAGTCTAGTCTAGTAGTCTATAGGTCTAGTCTATAGTCTAGTCTATAGTCTAGTCTATAGTCTAGTCTATAGTCTAGTCTATAGTCTAGTCTATAGTCTAGTCTATAGTCTAGTCTATAGTCTAGTCTATAGTCTAGTCTATAGTCTAGTCTATAGTCTAGTCTATAGTCTAGTCTATAGTCTAGTCTATAGTCTAGTCTATAGTACTAGTCTATAGTCTAGTCTAGTAGTCTAGTCTATAGTCTAGTCTATAGTCTAGTCTATA